CATATTTCCACGAATGCCATATATGGAAAAATCATGCACATGATGCATATATAATGCTGCTTCACAGTTTAGACAAAAATGGTTAGCTCATGCATTTACATTCCGGCATTCATCAAAGCAAGCAACACAATGTAGAGCTAATTTACACAACATCACCTTGCAATTCATGCAGAGCTCTGCACAACACACCTGCTAGGTGTGTACACACTACAAAGGTGTCTAGATTCCACCAATAGATCATGCTGGGAGGGAACACACTACAGAGGTGTATACTTGTTCATGGCGTGTTTATAAGGTTAGTAAATCAACCCCATAATGTCACAGATATAGGCTTTGTACGACAAAAGGGATTGAGATTGGAATATTTCTAGATTTCTAATGGCACTCACCGGGACTATTGCCTTTCTTTGTTCCCTTTATTTTTATCTGGTCCCTGGAACCCTTTTTTTGGCACTATACGAGCAAATCTAGCTATCACAGTTATTCACAAACTCATCACCTGCCCCTGGACCTCTATATCCAACATACTTCACGCAGTGGATAATTATAATAAGTTAGCCAACTTTCAATTAAATGAAAGGCCTTTAAAGTAGCATTAGTAGCCTTTTTTAAAAGTATATGGTAATGCAAAGCATTGCAACATTTTTTCTTTATATCTATGGCAAAACATTGGCAGAGTTATTCACAAAAGGGTGAAGAGTTTGGAGAAGTGAAGAATCTAGGTCAAAATAGCTGACTTGGAAAAATTCTCAAATTCAGCTCACATTCCAAATCAGCTATGTTGTCCTAGATTGTTCTTCTCCAAACTCTTCACCCTTTTGTGAATAACCCTGTTAGTTACCCTCACCGCTCAAGGTCCACAGCACTGCTTCCATTGAACATCTGGGTAGTGGAGCGAACTCTCTGTGCCCTGTCAATCAGCAGCTGTAGGTGGGATCAGAAGAGTGGCTTGCCTCCAGGGCTATCAGTTTCAGTGGACATATGGAGAATCATCATGTAGCTAAGCAAGAGTGCGCACGCAAAAGGTGACTCCATGGGTAAGGGGACAAAGCCACCCAAAGGCAAGACCCTGCAGAGGGAAATTTACACAGGAGGATATGAAAGCAGTCACAACATTGAAAGAAAAAAATGGACATAGAAACAAGGTAAGTGCTGGGGTCTACAGCACTATGGGGAGGGGGGGATTTGTTAAGCAAATCAGGCTCCCTCTCATGCTGCAAAGTCTCTGCGACAGGTTTATAGACCAGTGCTACAGTTTGCAAAATTCTGAGACAGACTTATTACTGTAAGGTGAGAAAGATCTTCACTCTAAATAGATCCATAATTAAGAAGTGCTCAGGGTTGGGTGTCATTTCTGTTGCAGTACAACTTTAGAACAGATGAGGGAGGAATGTATAACCCAAGCTGTAACCTTATAGCAAATCTGTTGCACTGGAACAAGAGGACTCCTCACAGCTTCTCCTTTGCCTCTCATGGCTCTCTTGCCTTTTCCCATCAGCAGTAACTATCCAACTACTGGAGCTACTGTCCACATAGCTAGGAAGATATTCTCCTTCACCCAGCTTCCTCCCCATCCTTCCCCTCTTATCTGGGGGATCCTGACTTTCCTCCAGGGGGTGTGATCATATCAGCCCCTTCCAGATGACCACTCAAAAGGCCATACTTCACACTACAATCTAAGAAGAAACCCGGCTGCATGCCTTTTACATCTGACTGACCTTTCCCTTTCTAAATATAAAAACTCCTTATACACTTGCTTAACCCTGCAAGGCCTTGTACACCAATTCTCTGGAAAAAAAAGATACCCCATTAAATGTGTCCCTTTGGTTTCTAAAGTTAATGAACTCATGGTAATGAAGGCCCTAACTGCTTTCCCTAAAAACACAGAGGAAAAATTTGAAGAACCTGGGCCTCCTAGACCCTTTTTTACCATCATCTCTTCCTACCAGGCTCTTCCACCCTAATCTTCAACCTTCTGCACTTCTAGTGAACCAATATCACTGACAAAGTGTGGGACCGGGGATGGCTGAGGTGTATTGGGCATGTGGGCTCCTCCCATCTATCTTTTTGAGCGCCTCTACTTCTTCGGCCCTCCTCTCTTACACACTGTACAACATCCCAGTGGATAGCTATACAACAACAAACACGCTGTTCCTTCACAGGGTTTACATACACTCCTGTAACATAACTGTATGCACGTTACCACCTTAAAAGTTCTGCGCCTAATTTATGAAAGCCCGAAGACAGTTCTGTCATGTGCTAATGAAACTGGAGGTTATTAAAACCAACTCTAAGCTGGCATACAGAGACAGGTATACAAACATACCCTGCTCTTCACTACATAGAGGTGCAGCTGTGTAGTAAGTAGGGAGCAAGGCATATGTGTGCTGGGACGTGTCCTAGCAACCAATGATGTCTCCCCAGCCCCATTCAACTGCCAGCCGGAGAATTTGTTTACAAATGCCATATTTGGGTTATGATGTCAGCCAGCATCTTTGCCCCCTTGTTTATCTCCTAGCCAGCAGCTGAATGGGGCTGGAGATACATCATTGATTACTAGGACCCTGTTGACACTAGTAGCTATGGAATCTACCCATTGCAATTCACAAATAAGGTGAACCTGATGGGGGGGAGGGGGTTACTAGTCTCCTAATTTCCCATCAGACTCTGTGCACAGTCAAGGCATACCTGATGGGAAACTAGCTTCTCAACATCAGGCTTCTCAACATCAGGCTTCTCAACATCAGGCTTCACCTACCCAACAGCTCAACTCATTGGCCCCTGCATTCAGCTGTGTAATAGGCACAGTGGTTGGGCAGGGGGCTCAATAATGCTAAGCCTGTGATTTTATCAAGCTCAGCATTACTGAGCTGCACTCCACTATGGTCCACTATGGACACTATGCCTCCATGCAATAAATTCATATACCTATTTTCAATAGGTACATAAATCTGTCACACACACTGACATTTGTGGTGCGGAGACATGACACAATTCTAAACAGTTTCTACATCACTCTTTATAAATTCCATGGACTTTATCAACCTGTGGTGGAAGATTTGTGGATGACAGCTTAGTCAAGGATCTTTAATTCTGTGCCAGCAGTTTTGTGACTCAGGCACCTATAGCAGATTCCACAAACTGATTCTCAACTTTCATTCTAGTAGCAATACAACTTTGGCAAGATTAAAAAACAAAACACTCCCCAACTGCAAGCTGGACAAGGAATCGTCAGCACTGCACACAATGCTGTAAAGGAGAGCTCACTCTGCTCTCTCCTTAGCTGTTGGAACATGGGGGCTGTAGCAGAGCTTAACTGGTTTCCCATGTTGGCCAGCCTTCTCCCAGCCTGAGTGCTACAATAAAAAGGTGACTGATATCAAGACAGACTGAAACCAACACACCGGTTGCCTTTGAAATACAGTAAATTTGGTACAGAATATGATGACTAGTATAGTTGTCTCCTTTGCCAATGCTTGTTCCTGTTCCATCTACGGTCATTAGAACTGTAATAGGTATGGAGCAAATGACGGCTGCAGGTGGCTCATTCCAGATTTTTGTACAATATTAATGCCATACAACGGGGGGAAAGTTTATTAGCAAATTGGTAAGATCCAGCCAGCTTCTTGGTCTAAACAACTGTAATATTTTCATCTTTGAAGTGAGTGCTATGATAGTTTCTGTATATAGCACTCCATTTGTATTCAGAGTGTAATATTTACCAAGCAAATTAGCGACAAAGTGCATCTGCACTGCACAATTTGCATAATCAGGCTGCCTCCATATTAGCAAAGTCTATGGAACAGTTTTCATGTGTATTTGGGATCAGTGCGCCTGGAATGCTGGGAAACCAACTGCGACAGAATTGCAAAAGGTATGCAAGAGATTAATTACTGAAGATAAAACAGACACATCCTGCCCAGTACTACTACACAGCAGCTAATGGAGGAATTTATGACTCAAGCAGTGACATTACTGCAACTGTTTAGCATTGCCTTGAGCACGACAGAATTGTAACAAACACACACATACAGTCTGCACACACACAATTTTTGCTGCTATATGCAAGGCCATCATTTAATATGAAACAACAAAATGGGGATATTAAAAGCACTAACATCCCAGCTTTTAACATCAAACAGTGACCTTCCATGTTGCTAAGCAACATCAAGCCTTGCAAGCTAAAAATATGATTGAATGAAATCAGGAGAGAAAGGAAATACACTTTTTGCCAGCGAGGACTATTATTATGGTGTTAGAGAGGACCATTATAATTCTGAACAAAACAAGTTGGCTATAGAGGTTAGCAATAGCAGAGCAAATTACTAACGCTAGTTAGTGCCATCAAGCAGACAGTAATGTGAAAACTGCCTATTATATACCATAGAAAGAAAGTCGTTGCAACTTTGTTACACAGAAAAGGTACAACATGTTTTACTGGAATGGTTTTGGGGTGCTTATAATTACACCCTGCATTCAAGTAGATCTGATGGAGAGGTCTGAGGATGCATGAAATCAGACAAGGGCCTAGAGCAGCAAGCTCTGCTCACTTTTAAACCGTTTAAACTGTTTTATGGCCAGGAATGGATGACCACAGAATTCCGATTTAGGAAGACACCGTACAGGCAATGGTCAGGGATTGCTTGCCTTGAAGCCTATGCTCCCTGCCCTCAGCTGTAACTGCCACACAAAATCTGTTTCCTCAATTTTTTTATTTGCCATTTTTTCTGCATATTCTAATAAAAGAGGACCTTCCGTAGTAGTAAATTCAGAAGTCGGTGTGAATACATACCTTTCATTGCACAATATACTGCAATGTTAAAAGCAGTTCCTTTTATCAGTAAAAAGCTTTTTTGAGCTCCACAATGTCATCAGTTTGCAGTGTCTATCTGACAGCAACAGGTGTACCAATGTCAGAATACCCCAACAGTGACTGCAAGTTGATGTATACAAGTCGTGTATACAAGTCTTTTGAAAATGTGTGCATTAAAAATCTGTACCTCTTCTTTTGTACAGATGTTTTTTGTTGTGCAGAGTAAATAGATCTTATACGTTGGCACCAAAAATGCTTACTTAACCCCAACCCTGTGCAGATAGTAAAAAAAATCATGAATGCAGTTATATAAATAAACAAACAGTCATTAAACATATAGAATACATACCTGAATTTGTGTAGATGTCAGCATCCAGTGTACTTAGATCAGGAGAAGGTGGGGTAGTATTTGGGGCCATTCGGATGTCCTGCATATACAAGCTAGCAAGGAATATGCTGAAAGGAGGATAGAGCAAAAAAATTAGCTTAACAGTCTATTACGGCTTCTTCATTGTCCATTCAGAGGCTGGGGGTGAGGAGGTGACCTAGGGGTGTTGCTCAATTGCGGCAGGTCACCAGAGTGGATGTACTATGTGGCACATCTGTGTAAATTTCAGGACTGGATTGGAAGAAGTACAAATCTAAATCTGTATATCGGCTGGAAAATAATCTGAATCAGCCCCAATGCATGCCATTTATGTAAAATATAAAATAGTGAGCTATTAAAACAGTTTGGAATATTTTAAAATTAAATGCGTCAGACAATGTACTACAATTCATTTTTTTTCTTTTGATTTGCTATTGACCATATACAGTTCTTCGTGCATATTGAGGTAATGTGTAATGTTTTTGCACGTCAGTGGCTCACCAAATATTTAACAAGCAGATGTATTGAGAGCGCTACTACTGTTTAAAATTCACTCACGTTTTTAGATGTCACTCTGTCTCAGAAAGAAATCCACTGTAATCGCTATGCACAACGTAGTATTTGGCCAGGATAGAGGGTGAGATGACAGTGGGGTGAGTAGGTGAATGCCTAGGTGGACCAAGTGTGACAATACAGTCGGGTATTGGGAGCTGTGCGGACCAGGCTGAGCCGCAACAGCAATGTGGGATGTACGCTGAATAGATGTCAGCGGATCGGGTTAATCTGGAAGCCGCAAGCTGGTGCTGAAATGCCGCGGTAATGTGGAATCAAGTGATGTTCAGCGTCGTCTCTATAGGTAGTGTTCTGTGTGTTCGGTAGCTACGCGCTTCGTAGCCACTGCCTCTTTGTCAAGCCTGGATACGAGGTGGGAGAGAAAATGCGAGAAAGGTTCACTTCTTTTAGATTTGACAGCTGGGAGGAGTCAATTGCCGTCTTACTGCTGTGATAGGTGGAACAATGGGAGGAGTTTGGGACAAGCTCACTGTCATTTCTCTCCGCCGTGGACACTTAGGCTGGATGGATTCGATCAGCGGGAAGATTGAAAATGCTATTGTATGCATACCCTTGGTTATGCTAAGCAGCGATTTGTGTTGGCAGATGGCAGTAGACATAATATCGATTTATATTGACAAATCAATAGCCCCAGAGGGGCGCAAGAGATGTACAGTGGGCTTACATGCCACAAGGAAAGACCTGTGTATTTAATTTCTCTCTCTAGGTACACAATAAAAAATAAAAATGGTGACTGGGGGCTATATAAAGATATTATCCGCTTAAAATACATAAAGCTATTATTTTTTATTTAAAAAGTGTGGTTTTTAAAAACAATGAATGTTTTTAGTTATCACCAAATATTTAGAGACAGATGTAATGACAGCCCCTGAAGGATTCACTTTCAATACATGCTGGCAAGGGCAGCCTCCATATTTCTATCCTACACAGCTCCACAGCCAGTAAGCACTCCCACCAGAACTGCCCTGCTTGCCATCTCCTTTAATTAAAAGCACAGGCCTTTTTAACCCAATGTCATGCGAAATCCACCACTCAAGGTACACCTGGGAGTGCAAGCTTCAGCCATGTGGGTGCAATATCCATAGGTGGGTCCCACACACCAACCGTGTATTTATCGGTTTATTCAAGCATCGAGGCTGAACTCCATAATATCTCCAATCAAATAGCCTTACAAACAGCTTGTTCTTCTCCATGGAACTTTTATATACATTAAGAGGCCAAACTCTGTATCTTATCATATAATAACTTTACAGATTGTTCATATGTACCACAGCATTTATTCTTCTACTTTAGTCATGTTGTAACATTGGGGCTGACTCCTGAAAATGATTCTCTGTATAAATGTACTCCGAGTGAGTTTATAGTAAGAAATCTAAATAACTATTTCATAAACTATAAAAAATACTGGGGGGAATTTATCAAAACTGCCCATGGCAACCAATCAGCTTCTCTCTTCAGTTAAGATTTGAAAATGAAAGACAGAAACTGATTCAGATTTTGTCTGCTCCAGTTTTGATAAATTCCCTTCACTGTGTTTTAAACTGGTGTTGGCCTTTTAGAGAGTAGTGTCTCTAGAAAGAACAATTGTCAGTAGCCATTATTTGGGAACAATGGCATATCTTGCCTGCCACTTATCTGTGATCAGAGTACTTGCTTGGTGACAAAAAAAGAGAGAGGTGTACGACTTGATAAGGTTTCTGAACATGAAAAATTAATTATGTTCAATCTGTATAAAACATAACGGTTTGCCCAGTGGGACTGTACACTGTCAGATTTATTTAATAGCATAATAGCTAGAACAATAATTATGTGCAAAGAGCTTCAACTTAAAACTCATAGCAAATCGATTTTCATTTCAGGTTATTGTAAGATGAGTTCTAAGTGGCTGCTGCAGGTCAGTGTTTCTCATACATGGAAAAGTATTTGCTATGGGAAAAAGTCAAAGTTTATAGAGTGCCTCCTTGTGTGGTAACTAAATTAACACTGGTGTGGTTCATCCTATCTCAAGTGCTCCCTAACATCGGTACGGTTATACGCAGTCTCCACTTATGGGTAGCCGATTTCCAAACAACCCATGCTTCTTTAAGTTTCAGTCCAAGTTTGGGTCCCCCCACTCACCATCGTTTGTTCTAGTTAATCTTTCTGCAGTCTTTATAATAAAAAAGGGAGTTTGGGGAACTGTTTTCTACCTGGTCTAAAACCGCTTTTGACCTAGAGGGACGCTTTTTGGATGCCATGGACATTCACAAGTTTCCAGGCAGAAAGAACAGTAAAAGTGCAGACAGGGCACTGGACAAAGCTCTAGGGACAAAATTGAAGTGAAATAGTTTGATACATAAGTGTAATCATAGCACATTACATTGTGTTGTGTGTATTCTGTGTAAATGTCATGTTTTCACTTTTGAATTTCCCGCCGGCTCCGCCCCCAGAAAACAAAACTAAAAAACTCAGATGCCGGCATCGGCCGGCCGCATACAGCAGAGGACACTGCGGGCTTGCAGGGACAAGGTAAGTGACACTTTTCTGTGCAATCCTGTGCTCGGGGTTACCGCTCTTGGATTTACAATAAGAAGCAAACACTTGTCTTAACCCATGAGAAGTACATCTTGGGGAACATGTTGTAGCTGTAGGTTGTTGCACATTGCCTTACTAACCAGCTCTGTATTTGTCTTGCATTAAGGCCACTATCAATGATTTTCTGGTATACTTGAACTAGACTGGCAACACAGCTTTCTGATAAACTGCTGCTTAGCCCATAAGCATTTGTTTAATGGGTGACCATCAATCATTTCTGATTATTCTGTATATGTACAGTAATATACCTAAAATAACTCACTCAAACGCAGGTCAGGATAAAAAGGTCTTGTTTGAGGTAAAAACACTATACAAATACATAGATAGGTGCAACAAGATAACTTACACACGGTTAAGCTTCTTTCATTCATTGATCGATGAGCTTTGCATGGCTTTTGGTGTATTACACTGTTTTTTTAAATAGGTAAAATATTGAACTTGTCAGTTCATGTAACAGTTCATATCCTCACCGTCTCTTCCAGGAGTTATGCTTTCATGGAGACAGTAGGAAATGTGCTTTGTTCATATATAACATCTGTTCAGCAGCACTTGAAAATTGCACTACTGTTGACAGCAAAAAAAAAAAAGCATAATAAAATAAACAAAGCATGTGTCTAGAAATACACCGTGCAGAATAAACCGTACTGGGTAACACTAATTGGAGGGATTGGAGTGTAAGGCCTGCAGCACAGCAACAACTTTCAATCAGGCTACTACGTGACAGGAACCCTCCTACTTTCCAACATCTGATCGGAATCTCTGCTACAAATAAAAGTGAGAATGACTTGTAACTAGGGTTGCACCGTTTTTGCGGTATCGAGTACCAATACTTTCTTTTTCGGTACTCGCCGATACCGAGTACCGGTGCCGCGTGCCCAGATTATAAGGAAGTCGGGTGACTGATCATGACCCGTCGCCCAGCTTCCTGATTGGTTAGGAAGTCAGGCTGCTTACCAACAAGTAAAGCTAGCTTCCTAGCCAATCAGGAAGCTGGATTCACTTGTGCCTAGGCAGCCTGGCTTCCTAACCAACAAGTACTTGCCCAATTACTCGGTATAGGTACCGATGCTAGTATCGGTGCATTCCTACTTGTAACATGGGTCGCTAGGACACAAGATCAAATCTGAATGATCCCAGCAGGTCACATTCACTTACATGTGTTTCAAAGGCCTTGAGCAGTTGTATGGGAGCTATACAACTATAGTGTGATAGAAGGGTGAAAGTGCGGTATAGGCCTAAGGCTTGTAAACAATATCGAACAAGTACAATATTTACACATTGTGTGTTTGGAAAGGGATCATGGAATGATTCTCAGCATGCAAGTTTCAAGAAGGTGAAATTCTTATTCTTAAAATGCCACAGCTGATGTATGATGCTGCCGTTTCCAGCAGAAAGGAAAAGCCTTGAAAGATTGCATTGATTCCTGTGCCTGAAATGTGTCAGAAGCGAACTCCCCATACAGCTCAGATTCTTGAGAGCACTGGTGGCAGCACGCCAAGATGAATCCTCACACAGTGCCACATGCTTCCTAATGCAGGTCAGACAGCCGTGTGTACTGGAGTGGCAGAAGGGGACGATCCCCGGTCCGATGAGGAGGAAATTGATCTGGTTGTAGCTTCACGCTGGAGTTCTTCCACCCTCTTCTGAAGCTCTGCCCTTATGGCCAAGAGGTCCTTAAGGTTCTGATGAATTGGCATCTATACACAAGAATATGCAAAGTGTGTCAGATTTATATAGTAATTTTTATGTGCATCAAACCAAAGTCAATGTTTACTCTTTACTCTTAATTCAAATATAACCAGAGTAGTGCCCGACACAGAGGTTAAAAAGCATGCATTAACATAAGATATAACTATGTGTTTTAGAAAGCCCTGTGTCTGCACACTGCTACCAGGAACAGAAGGAGAACTAAACTAGCAGGACTTGGTACAGCTTGAAAAAAAAAATGTTTTTTATGTGCAAACTTGCCTTATTTACCGGCATAAATAGTGTCCTACAATGTATTAAAAGTGCATTTATAATGTAAAGCCTGGGTTCTCAACTGGTGGGTTGTCACCGAAAAGTGGGTCGCTACCCCATGTTCAGTGGGTCACCACATGTCTTCCACTTTTCTAGGTGAGACACTCCTCAGCCTCCCCCTAGCGCAGCACCATCAGTTCTTGCGCCGAACAGCCATTCAAAATATGCTGCCCGGCCCCGCGGGTCAGCTTGAGGTGGGGTAGGCTGGAAGTATGGCCCTAAGGGAGTTTCATCCATATGTGCATTGCTTGCAGCTCCCACATGTGCCCTGGAGAGGTGCCTGGACTTGACTGGTGTCACATTCTGGCTCCCGGCATCTCTACAAGGTGTGCAAGGGAGCTGTACAAACAATGCACATATGGATGGAGCTCTGTCACAGCACAGCAGCTATTGAAGTGTAGATCGCACTTCAATAGCTTATTGCTGGGCTTCAGGAGCCCAGCACTGACAGCTATGGGACCGGAAGTGATGCAATACGCATCGCTCCCAGTCCCATAGAACAGGGGAGGAGATTTGTGAACGTACGTTCGCCGCTCTACTCCCCAGCTTCCTGCCGACACCCGAGATGCTGGTCCTGAGCCCGCAGGAGTGGCAGCGAAGCCCAGGAAACATGGCGGGGGGTCGGGCGGGGGGCAGCCACATTACTGGATCATAGAAGCGCTCTGGCAGCAGCTGTAAAGCCAGCCACTGGCTCTACAAATATGAACAGAGTCCCAGAGGCGAGTCTATTTAACCCCTTAAGGACCAATGACAGGATTATCCCATTATGGGTCGTGCAGTGGTTAAGAAGGTGGCAAAGTTCTTACAGACTGCTTCTACTAGAAGTATGAGTGGGGTATAGGCATTTCTTTGCGTGGGTGTTTTGCAAATGTACACACCTTTGCTAGTACTACCCTACCCCTTACCAGAGCTTGAAACCTCATAAGGACATCCCCATAGAGAATCACAAGATGTGTCCTCGACAGCCAGGTCACTGATGTGTTGCTTGGAAGTCACAGAAAGAGGAAGAAAATAGGTGCCCCTTCTTTTCAAATTCCCTTACAAGGTTTCTTAGAGGAATCCTACATTTCCTTTACAGGAACACATTACATTTTTTCATGATTTGCAGGTTCCTATGGGTGATCTGTGTATAAGAATGGCTGTGAGAGGGCATACTAATCTGATTGTCACTGCAGGTCAGGCACACTGCAGTACCCAGCAGCCTCAAGAGAGAAGCAGTGCATGCTGGGAAGTCCAAAAGCCATTTAAGCCCTGTTCACATAACACTAGAAGAAGAGGAAACAGAAGATACATATTCACATCTGTGAATTAAAAGCCATTTTTAACATGAGATATTTATCTGAATAAAATGTATAAGCTTAAGGGAAGAATCTTTGTTTTCTTTTCATTGCCTGTGGTCAAATCACACAATAATCTCTCTTTATGTATGGTTAAAATCTGTATGTGGTAAAATGCAGAGAAGCAGGATTTGTCCATTTATCAGACACCTAGCAGAAAATGTCTTTACACAAACACCAATCAGTCTTAAAAGGGTGGTATGTATCTGAATGGCGATAAAACGGCTTCATGTGTTGAATGTGCAGGCTGGGGGCAGGGAAGATGCTTTACAAGGTTCCTTACACAAAGGCTACTCCTATTTACAAAGTGTTTGTCTGGCTGTATAATGTATTGAACATTATTCACTCAAGGACGCACATTACCTTGAAAACTGTTAAGTGATGAATCTATTTGTTCTTGCTGAATGAGTCTGTTTTTTTTAAATCTCCACTTGCAAAAGGTAGTCTTGATAGTAAAGCCAATGTGCTTTAATGCCGCTGTGTGATTTCAGCCACATCACGCTGCCATTTATTCTCATTTATCTGCTAAACCACATTTCCTTCAAGACTCAAAATGATTCCTTTTTTACTGTGGTTCAGCTATATATTTTTTTTGCTTCTCTCTATAACAAGAACAACACTATCTGACTGGGCTTAAAAAAGAAAGCCCTGCCAATTAAATGCACTTGCAGTGAAAGGTACTATTTAGCCATTAGAAATGCAGTGCTGCAGTGTTTTTCAATGGCGACAATTAGCATTCCCCAGCGGTAAACTACAGCCGTTCCACATCAAGTCTGGGTGACATATATGAACTTTTTAATAACTTGAATCTAAACAAAAGAAATTAACTGTCAAGTGGTGCATAGCCATAATGATACAGCTGTCGCACAGAGTCTCTGTGGTGTCATGACAGGCAGACTGACAAATACTTTACAACTTCTGAATTGGAGTTCTAAACCCTGGATGAGAAACTGTTTGCAATTAACACTAATTTCTAGTTACTATGGAATACCAAACTGTCAAGATTCATTCATTCTGGTGCATATGAGAAGCCACTTTTTCAGGAGTCTTTTATGATGACACCCTGGTAATCTAGGGCCGGCTATGCACTATTCGTTTTGTGGTCGAGGAAGTCAAACATTTGTTCTCATTCAGCCTAGGCTTGATTGCCCATCCGCACTAAACAGTGTGGATGGGAGAATCCCCCCTTCCCATTCCTCCCAGCTCAAGGGTATGGGTGTTGTCAGGAAGAATGAAATGCAAAGATTATTGGCCATAAAGCAGCAGATTCACAGGTTGAAAAATGATACATTGACTAACTGCAAGGGGGAAAAAAAATTAACTTTAGATTCCTAAACCTTCAGTAGATTAAAACCCTATAAACCTCCATATGCTACAACAGGAAAACAAAACAAAAAAAGGATTTTCTGCATTTAGAAAATGCATTCGGCCGCCCTTTGAAGCAAACCCACTGAGTTAACTAGTAGCAGCTCCAGGGAAGACTATTCAATAGTTTCACGGCTCTTACAGTTAGAGAACACTTTCTGTATGTATAGGTTAAACTTCTTTTCCCAGCAGACTGTAAACCTCTATCTTTGAGGTACACAAACCAAAAATGTCACTACCTTTAAACTTGTTTGACCCGATAGAAGACAAGTAATAAATAACACAATAACAGGTACACAAGGATTCCCTGATCACTGGATAACACTGCAGCTGGTTATAATTATATGACAAAATGAACACATTTATCACTGCAGCCAAAGAGTTCACTCAAAGTGTACCTAAAACCAAAACCCAAAGTGCTAAGATGTGGTGACTGCATTCGTTTTTTTCAAGTTTTTTCCCTCTATTTTCACCTGGTGATCCTACCAGCAACACACTTCCTGTTCTATGGTGACAACACTTACTCACCATACCGTATGTATGGAGTAACAGCGTCGTGATCCAAGAACAGGACTACAAACAGCGTTATGAATTGGCAGAGAGAACAGAAAGGTTTACTGGCAGAATTACCAGGTATTTTTTGCACTTAAAAAGATATAATGAAAAATGTTCAATAGTATATCAAACAGAATAAAAAGGAAAGAAAAGTTCATTGTTAAGGTTTACATTTTCTTTAAGTGAAAACAAATCAATAGATCATGAATTTTGGTAGGCTGCTATAGGTACTATAGCTTGTCACTATTAGCCTTCACTGATTGAATAGTTGACTAGTCTACTCACTAGTCAAACTCAAAGGGTTTTATTTATCACAAATGCCAGTGAAATGAACTCTCAGACAGTAAACGTTGGATTGAAACAACCATATTTAAAACTTGCATTACCCAAATGCCAGTTTCTAATGCAGGCTCGTAATTAAATGGCCCAAAATAGACTATGAAATGGGACAGTTCTTTCCTTAAACACTATAGACCACTTGGATGCTTCTAGCAATCACAAAAGCGATGCCGTCAGGAGAGATCTTCTGGAATAGAAAATACTGTCTCACTAATGCTCTCTGCTAGCTGAGAAGGAGACAAGTCAGCAGTGTGGATCACATAGTAGGTACAGTGTAGAGGATAAAATGGTCAAAAGAAAAAAAAACATGTTCTGAAGGTCTGACTATTCAAAAATGAATAAGAACCCTCATGTTTGGGCAGTGTTAAGGGCAGAAGTAACTTCCATGTTTGCGCTATAATTGGAAAACTTACTCACACTGAACTCCTAATACTTGGTTCACATGTATTTGGTTGTTTTCCCAAACACCTTCATCATTCCCAGTCAACCTCAGATAACATCCATTCAGCTGGTTTGCACCTGCTCATTTTCTTTACAATGCAGTTTTCTAGACCAGTTCTACTATAAAGCTGACAAAGGCAATATTTTAGACCTTCTAGAGCTGATATTCTACTAGGTTTTACTTCTAAAACCAATCAGATGAGAGATGTCCATTAAATTCACACAAAAACTACCAGGCATCAGGTCACATTCTCAGAGAATCCTGCAGGCAAGAGCACATATATTACTATTGACAATGAAGCGCTCTGAAGCGTTATTAAGCTGCTGTAATATTTTAAGCATACTAGTTTCTGCCCTCATCTGTAGTATCACTAATGGCCAACTTTATTTGAGACAAAGACCAAAAAGGATGAGAAACAGAATAAAGCTGTACATACCTGAGGTCTGGTCCGAGGGTTCCACCTTATGTAATAATTCACCCAGAGTTCCAAGTGGCTAAAGCTGGCGACTGGATACAGCACATGGTGCTCATAATTCACATAAAAAGGATTGGTAAATTCATCCATGTGGCTATTAATATAGGACCATAAAGCTATAGTCTTTGTTTGCACTTCCTAGAAGAGGAGATACTTATTGGTAGTTTAAACAATGACTCCAGTACACAGACATTTGCATCCCTTGGTTCCTGAACCAAAGGAAACCAGAGATGGAATACTGAGGGTTAAAAAAAAACAAAAAAAAACACTATACAATATATATATACTTAATATATAGACTGGACACAAAGGCAAGTTTCATATGCAGGAGAGTCTGTAATGGTCAAAGTCAGAATCAATAACTGAATTTTTACCTACCATGTAATGTCCCTCTACAGAGTTTCAGGAGCCCAGTAAGAATACATTGATTTGCAAAACTGGTAAGAAGCACATAAAGGGTGACAATGATGATTCTTGTTTACTTTAATGTGTCTTCTCATCGGGTTTATTTAAGAGCCCCAAACACATTATGCACCTCAATGGGAGGAATTTAGAACCCAGTAAGGATTACACATCGTGAAATTCCATATTTTAGGTTAAATTGCACTCCACTATTCTAGCTTTCAGTGGGCATTGTGAAAGGTGCGCAGGAGGTATGGATCCTCAGGAACCATAAAAAGCTCACTCTTAAGCCCCTTTCACACTTGTAGGTTACTGAAGCAGTAAAATACACATGAAACTACACCCACAATGCATGGGGAGATAGGTATCACGCAAATGTGTACAGGTGCACAGCTGCAAAAACGGGGTTGCGCATTCGTACAATTGCATGTGTTTAAGCTGATATGCATAGTCTTAGTACAGGAATGCTTAAACAGTCTATGGCTTTCATGAATAGTGTATCCACCAAACAAATGCAATGTATTAAATCAAATGTTGAAAATGTGGCATATATTACAGGTTACCTATAGAACTTTTTTTGGTGAAGTTTTTCCCCTACTGTTAATGTTAAAAATTCTGGCAAATGTTTCTGTACAGAACTCCCCCTGAAAATGTGCTTCCTGCATGTGTGATTGGCTTACTGTTTGACAGAAGCTGAGCACTATATCACGTTAGCCATCATCAAAAGTAGAAATTCAGATATAGGGTGACACCATTTATTGGCTAACTAAATGGATTGTAGTGCAATCTTTTAAAGCATGCTGGCCTCTTCTTCATTCACTATCAGGATTGATTGATCTGAAGAAGAGGCCAGACTGCACTCCAACCTAATTTAGTTGGCCAATAAATGGTATCACTCAAAACCCAAACTATCACAAGCTGAAAAAATTCAACAGAATGAATCTGTATAGTCATCAGTTAGCACAGACATATTACCATAGAGAAGGACAGGGGCTGTGTACTTATCACACGCAGCACCTGTTCCTGGGAGCTACCCGATACAGCCGCGCACACAGCACGGAGCTGCACGTGCCGGCCTTTTCTCCTGTGAATGAGGGCTTGATCTCCAACTAGTGAGATAACCATTTAACTGGAGAATCTTCTACAATTCTCCCATTGCTTCACATTGTTTCCCCGAAAATAAGACCTACCCCGAAAATAAGACCTAGTACTATTTTGGGGAATTGCTAAAATACAAGACCTACACCGAAAAAATAAGACCTAGTTGGGACCATTCCCAGGGCCGGTGGTGGCATAAGGGGGAACTTGAAGAGCCGCGGGAGGGACTGGAGAGGATTAGCGGTGCCAATGAAGCCAGCGCTAGAGGAAGCGAGGCGGCACCGGAGGGAGCAGAGCCGTGTAAGCCAATGCCTCCTCTATAGCGCCAGCTCCTGTCACAGGCGGAGTGATACCAAATGCACTCTGCCTGTGAGGTACCGATAGTGAAAGCGCGCTACGCTCATTCTGGCCAGCGATTGGTTAGCAAATTGCTCTTGGAAAGGTACGGCACCCCTGATCACCATATTTTTGTACATGAATAAATGTGGATTGTTGTACATTAAAAAAAATAAGACCTACCTCGAAAATAAGACCTAGTGTGTTTTTATGAGCCCCAAAAAATATAAGACAGTGTCTTATTTTCGGGGAAACACGGTAGTTACTGACCAACCTATGCTGATCGGTAGCTGGCACACAATCGGAGCCTGTACAATGTCAAATGGACTATTAAATGCACAAAAAGTGTATTGGACCAAATGGTGCAACACACACTAGTGTTCAGCAACACATCCATTCTATACTGACCCAAGTCCCTTTCCCTATTAGCCCACTACCGACAGAAGCAATATTACTGAATGATAGGAGGTGGAAGGAAACCACAGCTGCCAACTATATTCTGATGGAAATTCAATTCAGGTAAGGCAGCAATTCTACCTACTCAGCCAAACAGCAATTAATACTTTGATTGTAAAATAATGCAACGCAGACAAAGGACACAATAGACATACCAATTAACACTGCAACATATTTTCTCTAATGTGAAAAGGTTTTGTGTATAAAAGGTGAAATGATAAATGAAGCCAATTCATCTTAAACCCTAGAAAGGAATACACAGCAATTGCCGGCAACCGCAATATGAGAATTTCATTTTGGTGCAGCTAAAGGCAGGTCTGTCTTTAACATCCGATATTCTGGAGACATTATGAACAGAGAAGGTGGGAAGAATATTAATGAATCTGCATCAATGCTGAGAATCTGAAGTAAATACTTGAGCTCCATCTTGTGGCAAACACAATGATTTACATAGTAGATTTCATTAATCGAGGCAGATGTGATTCAGATGAAGGCCACATGAGCCCAAAACCAGTGAGACTTTCCAGATGAGTCACTATGCCAGCTGTGAAAATAACCATGCAGACGTATGGACCACTAGCTACGAGTCACATAACTTCTAGTGTAATAAGGGTTATTGACAAAAAACATGGCCAATTGCATCCTTCAAGGTTTAGCACATAACAAAAAAGTCAACATACTGGAACAAAGGTTACATAGTTAGGCTGAAAACAGGACACATGCCTATCAACACGTAGAAATAAAAACCTACATCCACAGAATCCTAAAACACACAATTGTTCTAGAGGAAGGCAAAAAAAAACTATAAAACATGGTCCAATTATCTCCAACAGGGCAAAAAATGTCTTCCTAATACCCTAAGGCAATTCAATATTCCATGCATCAACAATCTACAGTGTTATTACTTATAAATATTAATAGCCAGTTATATTTTGTGCATTTAGCAATGACAATTTTACAGAGTTGGCTAGAGCTAGTTTCTGTGGAAGTCTATTGCAGACTTTTACAGCTCCTAATGTAAAGAAACCTTTACCTATGCAGAGGTTCAACCTCTTTGCCTGTTTGAATGATCATTATTTGATACTAGGAAGGCTTACTGCTTAAACTCTATTTAAATAGAACACATTGTGCATTTCAGTCATTTCATAGTAAAAATACACAGCGCTAAATTAAATAGATTAGACAAAGTGCAATCATGCCGCAATGCAATAGCAAGGCAGTCCACTGAAAAAGTGTAAAAAGTATTCTATGTTTGTGATAATGGTGATGCCTGTATTCATCCACCGATGATTTCCATGCTCTATCAGCCCAGAAGTGGATGGGTCCTGGTTTTGCGAACATGATGTTCTCCCCATATTGTATGAGTACAAGGTTCAGGAGGAAATTGCAGGCACTAAGGCTCAACACAATAGTGTCATTTGTTTTATATTTGGGCTTCTGGACAGACGTTTACATTTATTCATTGAGTAAGGTGTTTTTTTTTTGGCATACTTATGAACATTCTTGATAGGTAACAAGTAGGGTAACAAGTAGGGATGCACCCATACCGGTTTTTTGGTATAGAGTACCGATATTTCTTTTTCGGTACGCGCCGATACCGAAAGTCCCATTAGGGAAGCCGGGCGGCGTGTAATGATTTGCCACCTGGCTTCCTGATTAGCTGGTAAGCCAGGCTGCATGTAAAGACTCGCCACCCGGCTTCCCGATTAGCAGGGTAGCCGTCTCCTTGCTCCCCTCGTTACAGGTGACGAGGAAGCATGGAGCCGGCTTTCGGTCCAATCAGGAAGGCGGGCGCCGTGTAATGAAGCATTGACCAGCTTCCTGATTGGTCGAGAAGCTAGCCAATCGGGAAGCCAGGCAATGCGTCATTACACGGTGCCCGGCTTCCTGATTGGCCGTAAAGCCGGCTCCATGCTCCACAAGTGACGGAGCATGGACCTGGATTCCTGGTCAATCAGGAAGATGGGTAGCGTGTTATGACTCGCTACTCGGCTTCTTGAGTATTTGCCCAAATACTCGGCATCGGCACCGATACCAATACTAGTATCGGTATCAGTGCACCCCTAGTAACAAGCATGGATCCACTTTTGCAGGCACCATATTCACATTTGAATGTGTCACTTTAAGGCAGTAAATGGGAATGGCCTAGGGACATTATAACTATAAAGTTGGCCCTCCTTACCATCTTGTCTTAAATTGTATTGTAACTGTAATGTCTTCCTTATATTGTAAAGAGCTGCACAAACTGTTGGCGCTCTATAAATCCTGTATAATAATAATAATCAAGCAATCTAATTGCTCTATAACGTCCCTCTAATGTCTGTATATGGAAAAGAATACATACCTCTTTCACTTTTTGTTGCTCACTGTTATGCAAGAATGTTCCAAACAAGCAGCTGTAGAGATGGTCAAGAATGGTGATGAGGAAAAGTTCATTAAATTCAAATGCTGCAGGAAACTGGAAGAAAAAAAAAAAGGTTTTCAACAATTTAAAGTGCACCTGCAGTGGGGCAAAAAGACAGAGTATAAACCAACTGGCAGAAACTAGATACCATAAGGTCTTGTATAACCCCACATTTGCAGCTGCGTGTTCTGTAAAACGTGTTTGTGTGCTGCGATTGCTGCCCGTCTCCATTGAGTTCAATTGGGGTCTAAACGCGCAAGCATGTGTTTTTGTACACGCTTGGTACATGTCACGTAAAAAGCTGACTGGGTTCTATCCAAAACGAAAACGTTTTAGTTGAAGAAAAACTTTAGCTGTTGAAAGTAAGAGACTAATCCCCATAACATAAAGCAAAACTCTTACTCTCAAAAAGTACTCCAGAAGCTAGAATGCACTTAAAATGTAAGTAAACTTTCTAACAAACTGTGAAAAAATTTACTTAACCCCAGCATCCCATTACTTCCCCCAGCCCGCGCTGCACTCATGTCTGAAGTCCCCACTGGCCGGTGTAATGGTCTACACAACACACAGTGGACATCCCAGCCTCACCGTATGGAATCCTCATATTGCCTGCAAATAGTGAGCCTTCATTGGTCAGCATGGTTACATGAAATCAGGTTGCAAATACTGTTTACATACTTAATTTTTTCACTGCCCTGAATTACAGAATGAAACAGTCATAAAGGTGCACTTATGTTCTGAGTGATTTCAATAAAGTACCATAGGCACTTTCTCTGCAGTTCATGAGTCTACAATGTAACATCTTAAACTGCCCAATCAATTTCTGTGACATCCCTTGGGCAGTTTAACCCATTGCTGCAAACAATGGAAACCACGAAAATCCTTCTTTACTCTACCTATGATCATCATACTAGGCCACCCTGTTGCCTTTGTGCTGTAGGAAAGTATTAACCAGCTGACCTGACTAGTGCCAAGACTGAACCACAGCAGGGTAGCAACAATGAACCTTGGTACATTTTTTTGGTACATAAGTATGCCAAAAAAAAAGTCAGCATCCAAACTTGGTCCAATCTTTGAGCCTTTAGTACAGCATAACAGACAAAAAGGACACTGACTCTAGACACATTTTACCCAATCCTGGCCTTACTTTTCAGCCATTTGCCTTTGTTCTTTATTGAACAAGTAGTTACTCTCCCCTGCAACCCTTATAGCTTGGAATCAATTTTGGAATCTATTAACCCAGGCCCTGCCTCTCTAGGGTCAGTTGTAGATATCTAGGTATAAGTATGTAGGTATAAAAAAGTTTAAAAAAAAAATTGCATACAAAACACTTACCTGATTAGTCATTTGCCATACGCAGTCAATAAACTGAAGGAAGATTGGGGATCTGTCAGCATCTGCATGATTGTCATTCCCATGGCCGACTCTCTGGAAAAAATCAAGATTATTACGACATGCCAACTGACATTCTAAAATGCTACAAAGAACGCTTAACACATTTGCTACAAAACTTTCTGAACACTTTCAAACACAATATCATTTAGTAGCAAGTCTCAAAATTCAGAAAATTCACGGGAAGCAAGAGGAAATCTCCCCAACAGGCAAACAGATGGCAATAAAATCTAACAAAGCCGCTAACACTTGCCCCTTCAATCCATACATTTTGGCTGGAGGAAGTTGATCATTCAGCCACCCTCACTATTTACTTCTTATATATGCAAACAGATCACATTACCATAGCAGACAACACAAAGCAGCTACCTACTTACCATAGCGAATCTATGGCCAAAGCTTATCCACTCTTTTTCAATTAGAACCTCAAATCCTTTGATAGTTCTGTAATAGCTGTCCAGCATTAGCATAGCCAGAGATGTTAGCTGTGCCGTCCGATCCCAGCCGTCACTGCAATGTACGACCACAGAGGTCTTACTTGATTCAACTTTATCAGCAATCCTCACTGCGCCAGCCAGGAGCATCTGGAAACAAACAAGTCTATTATTTTAGATGATATTCCAGTGGAGTACAGCAAAAACAGGCTTCAAAATCTGCCCATCAACATATTTACATGGAAGCTAAACTCTATTTACAGCAAGAAGTACACAGTTACTACTGTAATGTATACTAGAAAGAGATTTTTGTCAAAATATTTACATGTCCGTATATTTTCAGTTTAGGGTTTCAATCTAACGAGTCTTGGGATAAGTACAGCTTCCCATAAGCACGGGATACAGTAACAGTCCGGCCAAGAGCAAACGCCCCTGAATACTTGCAGGCAATGTCAGCGATCACATATCTAAGATTAACCGAAAGGACAAATTAGAAAACCTTGTCCAATTACTATTATTTTTCCTGAGACAAAGCAGTGCCAGAGCTCTTTGCACGCACCCTTCTCAATTAATAAACTAATTTCAGGGGCTTGCTATTTTCCCTTTGCTGGTAGCCACTGTGAGACCGGAAACTGGTTATAAGACACCTCTGTAGACTGCAAACAAGCAAGTGACAGATATGAAAAGACTTCGGCAAATTTAAAAACATTAAGGGTGTTATAGTGATAAATATGAGACAGACCGAAGAATGGGAACGGTAAATCTCTACGAATTAAAAACTACATTTTAGCAACTTTGATGGTCATTGCTATGAAAATCTTTTCTTTATCCAAGCAGGTATACCATGTTTTTATCTGCATCCCCCACATTTGTCAGCTTGATCTTAGAGTCAGAAACTGTTTCTAACCTATAATACTTTCTCCATGTAGAAAATGTTGATGCCATATATCAGCATTACATGATTTGTGTCTGGCTCCAAGCAAATGCCAGAATTGGATATGCTCCCAACAGCCTGCTTACCCCCTATACCTGAAACACGAGACTATAAAAAGTGCTGTATATGAATCACCCTGAAAAAATGAAATGTAGATTATGTCTTGTTGCTTGCATTGTAACATCTCATTGTAACCAGAGGAGAGGCTCCTGTCAGAACGATGATCTCAATTTTTAAACATTGATTTAAAAATTGCAGGCATTTACAAATCATTCAGTTTAGAGATATCTTAGTTTCTGGAGCTCATCATGTCAACCAACCTACTTCCTACCTATGGGTCTGGGTCTGCCACACGACCCATAAGTAGGCTGATAAAAATGTTCTGTATTCCTGGGGCTTAACATGTAAGCCTACTTATGCATCTGGCTTCAGCCCATGACCTAGAAGTAGGAAGGCTGACATGATGAGCTTCCAGATACGGAAAATTATGGTAAGTATCGATAACTTTCCGTGAGTCGTAGGCAGTCACATAAGTAGAAAGGCCAACATAATGAGTTTCCAAAAAAAACTATAGTAAGTACTGATAACAATTTCACATACATTTTAATTTAAAAAATGTTTGCCATTTAATGGTTTGCAAAATGTTTATGAATCGCCGGTCTACACAACCCAATGGGCTGTATTAGGCTAATAAAGTTTACTCAAAGAGTACAATATATAAAAAAACAAACTCTTACTAAATACTTACCACCAGCAGCTTTCATAAAACCAGGCAACAGTGCCGTAGACAACCAAATACACCCAGATTCCTAAACTGTGGAATCTACAAGTCTATAGTAACCAACAAAACAAGAACCACTTTGAAAAAGCTAGTCGATTATAAAGTAACTAACTTGACAGATATTATGTTACATCTGCAATGATTTCTATTAGGAAACAGAAATAAGAGGCAAAGTGTGACCAAGTATAAATAGAACAAATTCTTCTTGCAAGCATAACAAATGAAGGTGGTTCTATTTTTGATGGTTACCATAGACTGGTAGATAATGTGGTATAGGAATGCTAAGTGCATGTGGTTTACTGTAGCAATGTTGCCTGGTATTAATTAAGATAGTGGGAGTATTAATTTAGTAAGAGTTTATGTTTGATATACTTTATTCTTTGAATAAAGTTGATTAGTTTAATACATCCCATTGGGTTTTGTGCAACCAGTTCTTTCTATGCCTTTGCTTCTCTCTGAGTCAATGAGCAGTTAAATGTTAAGGAGGAGACCAGTAAAATGCTGCAGGCAGATCTTACCCGTATGTATTCAAGCCAATGTGTCCCATCCACATTCGTTAGCCAGCGTGACTCATCAATGGCTGGATAAACGATCTCCTTCAGCTTACGCAGGGATTCTCTCATGACATGGATGTTGTGGATTTCCAGGAAAACGAGCTCTGCGTTGGGGTAAGCGGTCTCACTTTCATACCCTCCACCCTTTGCCTGCAGTACACAAAAGCACAGAACTTATAACTGCAGAGCAGACGTTCAGAAATCTCTGAGCCAAATAAGATAAAGAATCATAAATTCAACAGGCTGTTCTTTACATGTCACCCTGGCTCACTTCAAGTGCAAAACCAAAATTCCACTAAAAGCTAAATATTTCCCTTTTGTGTTCAGACAATTTCACTGTTCGGGTAGTACTGTCTGCATTCCACATTCCTTGTAGGCGCAGAGTATATACTACAAGGGTAATTATTATTCCTAGCTTGGAAAACAACCTCATCCACCCAAAATCATTTTACAACTTACTACTTAGATTAACAGATCAGAGCCCATAAAGCTTATTTCTGCAAGAACCAAAACTGCTTAGGCATATACAATACGGATGTTAAGACAAGTTGCGGTCATTATCCCAGGAACTTTATGGTACAATCACCAGAGCTAACTTACATTTCTACAAAAGGAGCAGTGGCTCGGTTTGTGGGTACCAAACTGTAAAATAGATTAATTGCTATACACACACACTACAATACTAGTCACCAATCAGCACTATACACCAGGGGATAACTTCGTTGCTTAGATTAAATTCATCATAATAATCTGGCATTTGAGCAAATAATAAATCATATATAAAAAAGATTAGTAAGCATTTCAGCTAAAGTCCAAGTAATTATGTAAGCCACTATATGTTCCTTAGAATGAGAGAACTGCTAAAATCCAGTGCCCGATACTCTCTGGCTGTACAGCTCCAGTCCCCATTCCATCATATCAGTCCTATTCTCTGGCTCATTCAGCAAAATGTGAATCCGGTTGCCCACTATATAGGTTTACTGAGAGCATAGGCTATTCGCATTATATTTGCAGCATTAGCCTTGCACTCACTTACAGTATTTCAGCTTTGAACATGATAAAAATAACTAGCTGACACATGTACAGGGAGTAATTAATTATCCTTAATGCATTATCCCTCCAGATGCTGATTCGCTAGGCTTAAAAATCCAGTTGCACAATGACCACACTGCTGCATATGTGTGCACATGTTTCCTTGTTACCCACATGATCCAGGTACTGAAAAACTACACTGGGAAAGTGCAGTCATAGGTATACATATACAGCCATAATTTATCCCTTACACAATTTTTGAAGCCAAGAGTGCAGCAGCCACTTTATTATAGCAAAGGTAAAATTCAGAACGTACCTTGTTGGTGTCAGCAACACTGTTCTGTCTGGCATCAAAGATAATAAGTTTGTGTGATTGGGCATTGGCATCCATTATAGTCTGTAAATACTTTTCATCTTCTTTACATCGCTTATCATTGGGCCCAACTAAAGGCTGGCTACAGCGAGTTATTGTAGCCTGACTTTCTGGGTGGATCCAGGACAACACCTGCAAGCAAATGTACCATTAAAACTGCTACGGTAAGCCAAGTACACCAAGAATGACCCTTTCTAAAATTAAATCCTTTGCAGGTAGTGATGTGATTCCCCCCCGACCTCTTCTGCACTGTGTGTAAGGAAGCTTTTGTGACAGGCAGCGGTACTGCTACACAACTTGACTCGCATACATCAAAGTTATTCTGGCCACACATTAGTAGATTTTTGTTGTTGTTGTTCATTCTGTAGGCTGAACAAAAAAAATATATCAGACTCCTCTATCTATCTTAAACAGCAAGGGTGGATGATTCTCCTGCTGTGCTTTCGTCCACTGCTGTCATACATGAACAGTGACTGCAGCTGATTGGATATGGTCACTCTTGGGCTGAAAAATTTCGGCTGTCTCCTTACACTATCAATTCTGTTAAGCCAGCACGGCCACCCACTGTTTCAGTCAATTCCCATCATTCGACTGAAATTCTAACAGTGTATGGCCAACCTTAGGAAGGGTGGATGCCTTGTCCTAGTTACCTCACACATAGCAAATGCTTGAGTGCATCCTTGTCTAATGTATCCCAACATCTCCAGACAGCTCACTTTAGGATAGGGAAAGGCCTGCAGTAAAGGCTGCCAGTCGTCAACTTACCGGAATACGTCCTTTAGCTCTAAAAGCTGCCACTCTGGCCAAGTCGTCATCTGCTACACTTGTAGGTACAACGAAGACGGCTGGATATGTGTCACATAGTTCATAGTTACTGTTTATCTTGGTGATCTTCCAGCTCTCATTGGGCAAACCCTGTGGAAGAGATAAGAGAAATGAACGATTATTCTCTATCGACTACAAAATGTAATGGTCATAAAATATATAAAACTGAAGAATGACTTCAACTTAGTACCTCAGAAATAAATGGAAAGAAAAAAAGTCAGATTTTGATTCACGGTTTGCTTGACTTAGAATATATGACTTGTAATGTGTCATATTCTTCCAAATGTAAATGATTTACATGCATATGCATTACAACCTAGAACTTAAAAGAAGAATTCCAGGAACGTAAAAAGTTAAGCTTTGCAGAGGGATACCCCCGCACTGCAAAGGTTAACTGCTTGTTTTGGACTTGGGGCTCAAATTTTAAAAATATTCACCCGATTCTCAATCACACCCAGCTGTTAGATCGGTCCCCGCAGCTTCTTCTCCTACAGGCTCCTGTTGCCTAAGCCCCGCTGACATCATCACGTCTAATGCAGTCCATTCACCTGCATTACACATGAGGACGCCACAGCCAGTGGGGGTAACCCTACTGCAAGGCTTAACGTTTTACATTCCTGGAGTTTTTCTTTAACACTCTTATACAGTAGATGTGCAAAATAAAGCAAATAATGGTCATCCTCTACCCCCAAACCATACATTCTCTTTAAATAGAGTACCTAAACCCCCAAGTCCAACCCATGAGCCATTGATGCTCAATATACAGCCCTCTGTGCTCCAGACCTCAATTCCAGTCTGAAGAACAGTGGGCTGCACACAGAGTGCCAGCAGCTCCAGCGAGCTTTCACAGTTGCTAAATCAAATCGGCTTGAACTTCTACTACCAATTGCTCCATAGGAGGGCTCTGTAGCAGTGTAGCAAAGCTAAATACTTTTGCATAGTAATAAAAAGGGAAGTGCTATATTGTCATTGGTACTTTATCCAAATCAGCACAAGCAGAGCTAATTCAGCTCCATACTGCCTCTCCCTGCAGCAAAAGATAACTGCAATACTGATCCATTGCTGTTGATGACAGCAAGCAACAGATCACGGCTATAAGTAAATCTCTTGTTGCAAGGGTGCATGAGGGGACTGGATGTGGTCTCCCCTGACCTGATTTATATCTTACATTACAACAAAAAAGGCAGTTAAAGTTTATAAACTATATAAGTAATAAAGAAAAAAAATGATCTCCTCTCCCCAATGAATCCCAGATCCCAACAAATATGTTGGATGCTCTGGATGACATTTGCTTTTACTGCACGAGTGTCAAACTTTTGTCAAATGTAGAATTTTTAACAATCGCAAATTTGTAAATATGTTGCCTTTGTGCACATTTTTGCACACACCCAAAATGAGCTAAATGTTACACTAACAATTTGAACAAACAGAATAATTTTTCCTTGGCGCATCACAATGTAACATTGCAAAGGGGAAAAATCTCTCCCAAATTCAAACTTCTCCTTTGTCACACAACCAATCAGGCAAGAAGCTGGGGAAGATAAAGGTAAAATATGATTACTATCTTATTAATAGCATCCTAATGATTGATGATAGAACAGGTACAAAACTAAGTCATTACGCAGCACTTCAGGCCCCCTGTATTTAGTAAATTGCCAACCACTGACTAATGATTAATAAATAGTATTTTTGATTTTGCACATCCCTGAAAGAGAAAATACTTATTTTCAATTAAAAAAATCCACAATTTATTTTTAGTCTCCAAAATATACAAAAATATAACATATTGTGATAATACTGTGGAAACGTAATAGATAAATGAATCTGGGCACAAAAATGTAAGTGCTTTGCAAAACAGTTAAAAACAAATGTACCCAAAATTTTACATAAGCAACACATTTAATACCCATCACTTTACAGTTGACCTAATATGATGGCTTCAAAATTACTCCTATATCGCTAACATATTTTGGGATACCTAATAGGCATTCATGTATGAATGCATGTACAGGTGTACTGCATTTACATGAATGCTGTAGGTGTGCATATGTATATCTATATATATTAATATATTACACAACATACAGTGCTGTGCAAAAACTTTTAGGCAGATGTGAAAAAAATGCTGTGAAGTAAGAACGCTTTCAGAAAAAAAAAAAAAAATTGGCTCTAGGTTTGGGGTCGTTGTCCTGCTGCAGAATACATTTGGGGCCAATCACAAGCCTCCCTGATGGTATGGCATTATTGATAAGTATCTGCTTCTATTTCTCAGCATTTCTGCAGCAGGACAACGACCCCAAACATACAGCCAATGTCATTTAGAACTATCTTCAGCGTAAAGAAGAACAAGGAGCCCTAGAAGTTATGATTTGGCCACCACAGTTTTGGATTTCTCTCCGGTTCATTGATAAAAAATAAACTATTATCACATTAATTTCTGAAAGTGCTTACTTTACAACATTTCTTCACACCTGCCTAAAACGTCTGCACAGTAAAACACACACACTAGCTCAGGGCTACTGTGGTCCTGGCCTCATGCAAGGGAAAGAAGAGATGGGACCAGGGAAAATGGGGCACTACATTTGTACAGCCACCATATAGAATACTCTCCTGAGTCACTTTTACTGTAAGGAGAAACATCAGGTTATATAAAAAGAAAAAAAACACGCTCATGGCTTCTTCTTTTAACTGATTATCAATATGCACCAGACACATCCCTGGTTGTGAAATGGTAACAAAAAGGCAAAAAGCATAAAAACAACAACAACAACATTCATAATAATAATAAATGTAATGATACTTTACATGTAGAACAAGATAAAAAGTTATAAAGGAGAATCAATGGGTTAATATAGCTGGAAAATATAAAATATACATTTGAAAATATAAAATAAAAGTTGTGATCTGGCAAAATAGATAACACTGTACCTGTCTCTTGTATTCTGTTGTTGGATCATAAACTTTCCAGCCATTCACAGAGAATTTTTCTTTGTAACTGAATGCAAATAAAGGCTGAAAGAAACAAGTAACAAGAGGATAAACATTCTAAATGAATGGATTGCACACATGGTGTTAGGTGAATGTAAGGGTTTGAACTCAGAAGCCTCGGAACTCTGACCCTGCACCTGCTGTGGTCTGAGCTGTTAGCAGTGCTCAGATGTAAGCTAAATGATATACTTCTCTATATGAAGGAGATACAACTGAACTGTTGCTCCTTATGGGAAGAACCAAAAATAGAGCATTTAGCATCTAGCTCTGAGCAAAGGGTCAGTAAGCACATTTCACCTCCATCTGTGAATACTTCTCCAAATTTAGAAGTTTCCAGACATTGGCAGGAATAATCATTTGATTTAAAAGGAGAATTATGTAAAGAGTGAAATACACTTATCCTCCTAATTAGAGCCGACGTGTGACATTGCAGCGGTCTCATGTCGGCTCTATTGATCAAGAACTGAGCGATCATAAACCGATGATAGCTCAGTTCCCGATCTTCCTGCAAAGAACAGTGACCGTCAGTCACTGGTCCCCACAATGATTTTCCGCTCCCCTCTCCGTTCCTCTGGCGCTGAATGGAGGGGACAGGCAGGCACAGCTGGCTCTGGCTCTAAAGAGGCAGAGCCAGCTGTCAAACAATATTGTAAGGATCTTTCCCGGCCACAGCTCGGCTCTGTCCTGTCAGCATATGGCGGGCAATAGTTTTGGGTCACAGGAGTAAGTAAATGTCCTCCTGTGACCCTAAAGAGAACTATGGCAAAAAAGGTTGGGCTATAGTTTTCTTTTAAGATCCTCGTAAGGATGAACCCTTTTGAACAAAACAGAAGTCTACTCTGCTAGTTGCAATACAAATTACAGTTGAGTGTTCATGGGTGGATTTCGAGCAATGGCTGCAAATCATATACAAGGAGATAGCTTTTCAGGAGCTGGAGAAAAGGTTTAGACATTTAAACTTAAAAGGACAAGTTCACCTTTAAAATGACAACCGCAGGCCCTAAACTATTCTAATGTGAACCACCCCCACCCAGGTACTTACTTTCCCCGTCCCACCATAGTGGTCTACCTCATTATTTATATTGCAACTAACAAAATCTAGTGTGGTGCTGCCTGTGGCTGCCCAGTAATGTCGCAAACACTTGAACGGTACATTCCTGTACCGCTGGTGCAAAACCATATGCAACACCAAGTCTATGGGAAGTTACTGGCAGGTAGCACCATACTAAATTTTGCCACTTGAGATATAAAAAAAAGGAAGGCCACCACTATCGGAGGAGGAAAGTGAGCACTTGAGTCAATGGGTTTCAGTCTAGGATTGTTCAGGAGCTAGGGGGATTTACTTAATGGTAAACTTGTTCTTTAAGCGATAGGTGACGGCAGATAACTTGGGGTGCTGATCTTACTCACGTCTGTGCTATCGTTCTGCTCCCATAATTACTTTCTTACTTTCCTTACAGCTTCACGGTAATACCTAAGAGCAATATGTATGTTACATTTAAAGTGTATACAAAGTCAAAACACCAGTTTTGAATAGACTAGAGCAGATTTAAAGCCACTGTCAGGTTTTTTTTTTGCTCCCGTGGGGAGATTTTACTTTATTTCTTGTTCTGAAGATGTAACAGGAAATGAAAGTTAATCTCCCTAAAGTGAACTGTATTCCCATCTTAAAGAGTGGTCATGTGTCCTAATTAGAGAATTTTCCCTCAACTTCTTGCTCTGGTGGCAACTCTAAAAAATTCCTGTCTCAGTGACGGTGGTCATCAGAACAAACAGAGGGGTGAGGAAACCTGGGGCTTGCCCTGGTCATTATTCCTTCTAATGCTAAATGCCTGACTATCATGCTGACCCTGAACACATGGATATGGATTTCAGACTTTTCTCCACTTTCCCGATCTACAATGCTGGTTTCAGGTGACTGCAAGTACTGAAGTCAGTTGAGAGGCATAACAGCCAGCCAAATAACATTACATTTTTGGAAGATGGATAGCATTCCCAGCTATAGCATTACCAGGTTCCCAATATTTCAGGAGATATAGCCACAGATGACCTTCTCCCAAGCCTTTAAAGGCTAAACTGATCCTAATGAATTACATCCAGTATAAGATAACACTTTTGGATTTTGCATGCAAACAGTTTGCCAGGAAAGAGTCTGAGTAATAAGTAACAACTGATTAGAAACATGTAAACCTGGCAGTATTTAAACACTGAATTCATAATTTTCCAGCCACCACAAATGAATAGAATTATTAGAATTATCACAGGGATCCTAGTGCGCTCCCAACATAATTATAAAGTATTCCTGGCAGAAATCAGAAGCGGCTCGAGCACAGCAGATCTGCCAGGTTTTAGACTTCCAGATCCTGTTATGGAACATACATATGTTTATGTGAAGTGAGAATCCCAAGGGTTCAACAACACATCATGTTCCAAGCAAATGCAAAATCAACATTTCCTAATCATTTTTTTAAAACTCAGAAGGCACATACAGCGTTATACAAGTAAATGGGGGTTTGTTGTTTGTATGTCAGCATTACAAATCAAAAATAATATCATTGCTATTTATTTCCCTTGTTGTATCACCTCTTTTTATGCCAGTTTTGTCAAAGTCAAGACAGGAGTTTTTCTTTAAGTTTTGGATAGATTTGGGTAAGGTTAGAACCTCTGTTCAAAATCTCTCAACATGGACAAAAAAAATAAAAAATTGCAGCAATTATAACATGTCCCCATCTTTTACACAAAAAAAGTAAAAGAAACAAACAAAAAAGTTACAAACATGTTAAAATAACAATTTGACCTGAAGAATACTTAAGAGCCAGTGCACACCTGGGCGATCTGTGACCTCGCGGCAATCGTGCTTGATACTGCGCGGATTGCCGTGTGGTCAGGGAGTCGCCCATCAACGACGATCACGCTGTGGGTGCCGTCATTTTCTAATGGCACCTCAATTGCACTGGGCGGATCGCGTGGGATGCCGCCCATGCATCCGAGCACGATCGCAGCTTAAACAGCCATGCATCGCAAAACAAAGGTACATGTACCTTTTTTCTGCGATTGCCGCACGGATGTACCCCATTGAAACCAATGGGGCCGCGCGGCAATCGATGTCTGCAATTATGCACGAGCGCGCGATTCCTGGGACACGCGTCCCGGATCGCTCAGGTCTGCACTGGGCCTAAAACCTCTAAATCATTAACTATTTTGTGAAAGCAGAGGCCCTGTAGAGTAAACAGATGGCAGTTGCAGCATTCGCTGGATATGCCCTACACGTCATGACAGCCAAGGTGTGTAAGCAAGCTTGTTTTTATTTTGTATAGCGGCCTACTGGCTTTCTGAAAACGTGAGCTTGGCGGCTATACATAATAAAAACAAGCTTGCTTACACACCTTGGCTGTCATGACGCGTAGGGCACATCCTTGGCAGTCAGAGGGTTAAGCATTACGGAGATAAGATAAAAAGGTGAAACCTCCCCAAAGGGAGTTATCTCTAAGCCTGATGAAGGGGACCCCGAAAGCGCTTGCCAATGAGATACAGCTATTGGCAATAAAATATTTTGCTTTTTCAACTTATGGTGTGCAGGTGACATTTTTCTATTGTTCATGTGTGGCGGTCGGTGCCATCCGCAGTCATTTCGAGGACCCATCTTCATCAAGTGGGAATCCCGGTAAGCAGTGCGGTATGGTTCCCGTTTACCTCCCCAAAGGAGACACAAACAGCAATAAAAACATGACAGAGGTTCTAACCTTTCTCACGCTGTCCAAAACTTAAGAAAAAAGCTTAAATATACTTAAATCAACAGCTTAGAAGGAGAAACTTGATGAAATATGGTGCAAGAAGATGCATTCATGAGCAACTAAAGGCACTATAATAGATGCTGGAAAAAGACAAAGGAAAAACATTGAATCAGACAATTATGCCTACACAATAAGTATTGTACATAGCAACCAACATATTGTTCTTTATTCAGTTAGAAGATTATTTCTGATAGGGGTTTCCGCACTTTGCGCATCACCTTTGCTTTTCATACTGTTTAAGCCTCAAGGTGCCTCTATATCAGGGGCAGGCAACCTCGGCACACCAGTTATGAAACTGTTATGAAACTACAAGTCCCATGAGACATTGCAAGATTGACAGTCACAAGCATGATTCTCAGAGGAAATTACTGGAGTTTTAAGGTTGCCTACCCCTGCTCTATATTATATGTTTCTCCCTTAACACCAACAAGAGCCATCAGAGTTCTTTGAACATAACTAAAGTCTGGAGCAGTTACTTACCAGTCTACTGGAAATTGGAAATGCGTGCCTTGTAAGATTTTCAAATATTTCCAACTTGCTCTGCTCTTCCAGTTTGTAGGCCAGCCGAAGGTTCCTCATATCCTTTGAAGAGATAAAATATAATCTTACAAGGAGAAGTATAATCTAGGGGTTAATCTAAACAAGCATTACAGAAGTGTAGCAATTCTAAAAGTAAAAGGAAGTTGAAAACATTCACTGCTTTCAGGTCTTCCTTTACAAACAATACAAGCTTCAATTTCAGAGGGGAAACACTCAGTCATGTGCTTCCTGGAAGATGAATGACACATTTATCTGAGAACAGCTTAGTTTGTACATCTCTGTTTAAAGCTCTTGCACAGACTTTCCATTTGGATTAGGGCTGCAACAACTAATCGACATAATCGATTATAATCGATTATTGAAAAAGTTGTCAACTTTTAAAGTGTTTTTCCTAGGAAGGGCTTTAAAATTGACAACTGGCCAGTGTGTTGAGACGATACAGAGGTGGCAACTGGTGCTTGGCCTATGACAGGGGGCTTAAGAACAATGTGTTTATTACGTTCTACACAGAAAAAAGCAATATACACTGAGCGGCCAGATTATTATGACCACCCTATCAGTACTTCGTTGGGCCACGAGATGACTTTGTTGGGCCGCCTCGTGACTCCATGAGATTTTGAAAGGGGATGCGAGGAATCTGACACTGCACTGTTGTCTTGTACCAGTCTTACCACTCTCCGTTCTGCCCTAACATTGACGGCCACAATTCGCACGTTCAGACCCAGATTTTCGGCTGACAGTCCAGTCTTTAAACACTTTAACAGCTGCTCTTGAACATTTAACGAATTCTGCTGTTTTGCTGATACTCGCTCCATGGCTTCGAGCGCCAACAATCATCCCACGTTCAAAGGCTGTTAAATTGCATTGTTCACCCATATCTTCAGAAAAAAAATCACTTCTACTGTCGTGGTAAACAACCTGCTTCCCTATTTATAATGGCCTGGCCCTCTAGCAACTTCAGCGCAAAATTATAGCTAATTAGCCTACAAACGTCAGGTGGTCATAATAATCTGGCCACTCAGTGTATGTATGCATGTATGAGTGCATGTATGTATGCATGTATGTATGCATGTATGTATGCATGCATGTATGTATGTACAATACATTTATACATACACCCACATATACACACACACACTATGCAGTTGTACTGAAAAGTTTGCATACCCTTGGAGAATTGGTGATATATGTAACATTTTTAAAGAAAACATGAGTGAGCAGGCAAAACACAATTTCTTTTATTTCTTATGGGATTCATATTCAACTGTAGATCATAACAGAAGAGCACAATCATAAAACAAAACATGGCAACAAATAAAAAACTGAAATGACCTCTGTTCAAAAGTCTGCATACCCCTAGTTCTTAATAGTGTGTGCTGCTACCTGTAGCATCAATGACAGCGTGCAGTCTTTTATAATAGTTGTCTATGAGGCCCCGAATTCTTGCGGGTGGTATAGCTACCCATTTGTCTTGGCAAAATGCCTCTAGGTCATGCAAAGTCTTTGGTCGTCTTGCATGAACCGCACGTTTGAGATCTTCCTAGAGTGGCTCGATGATAATAAGGTCAGGAGACTGTGATGGCTACTCCAGAACCTTCACCTTTTTCTGCTGTAACCACTGCTTGAGCCCTCTCCAAACATAGTGCTTGTGGTTGTGAGCATAAAGCTCTATTTTGGTCTTGTCACTCTAAATTACAGTTTGCCAGAAGCTGTGAGGCGTGTCAAGGTGTTGTTGGGCATATTGTAACCGGGCTTTTTGTGGCATTGGTGCAGTAAAGGCTTCTTTCTGGCAACTTGACCATGCAGCTCATTTTTTTTTTCAAGCATCGTTGTATTGTGCTCCTTGAAAAAACCACACCATCTTTTCCCCCGAGCAGCCTGTATTTCTCCTGAGGTTACCGGTGGGTTTTTCTTTGTATCACAAACAATTCTTCTGGCAGTCCTGGCTGCAATCTTGGTCTACCTGACTTTGGCTTGGTGTTAAGAGATCCCCGAATGTGGCCATGTTTCAGTTTTCTATACCGTGCCCTTTTGCTTATAAAGAATTACATTAAAAAAAAGAGAGATCCCCAAAATTTCCCACTTCTTAATAATTGATTGAACAGTACTGACTGGCATTTTTAAGGCTTTGGATATCTTTTTATATCCTTTTCCATCTTTATAAAGTTCCATTACCTTGTTATGCAGGCCTTTTGACAGTTCTTTTCTGCTCCCCATGGCTCAGAATCTAGCCTGCTCAGTGCATACACGTGAGAGCTAACAAACTCATCGACTATTTATACACAGACACTAATTACAATTTTAAAAGCCACAGATGTTGAAAATTAACCTTTAATTGCCATTTTAACCCATGTGTGTCACCTTGCGTGTCCGTAACAAGGCCAAACATTCCAGGGTATGTAAACTTTTGATCAGGGCCATTTCTGTTATTATGATTTCAAAAGGAGCCAAGCAACTATGTGATAATAAATGGCTTCATATGATCACGTTCCTTACATAAAAGACAGTTTTTTTCCATGATCAGTCATATTTTCAATATTAATGCCAAAAAAAAAAATCACGATTTCTGCCAGGGTACACTTTTGTGAGAGTTTCTCTCTCTCTCTCATTCCAGCCATGGTTCTGTGTCTTTAGTTTCACCTCTAAAAACTAGTTCTGTCTACTGCCTTATGTCAGATTGTTTCAGCTCATAGCAACGCGTTGTGACGTAAAACAACATGAGATGTTGAACCCCAAAAAAAAACACTTGCACCATTAATTAAAACCCAGTAGGATAAAAAGGTAAGCATTTATAGTGTCATAAACAATGTAACATTGCAGAACAATTCTAAGATGCAAAAAAATGCAAATGTAGCTACCTTGCATACAATTTCTATACCACAAGAATTGTTTCCTTGACTCTGAACTCCGATTTTCTCCACCCTGCTTATTGCACCAAGGGGGACATCCAGAATGAAAGGTGGATCCTGGAAGATAAGGAAAATAGGTTGGTTGTGTCACTTAAATATCATTACTATAAATAAATGGATTCAAGACCGGTATTTCGGTATCAAGTACGAGTACCGTATTTTGCTTTCGGTACTTGCCAATACAGAGTACCGATACCGATGCTTCCACTGGCAAGGAGCCAGCTTCCCGGGCAATCAGGAAGCCATTAGGCGGGTAATGACAAGCCGCCCTGCTTCCCGATTGGCTGAAAAGCTGGCTCCATGCTGATTGGCTGTAAAACTGGCTTCCCAACCAATCAGCATCGAGCCGGCTTTTCGGCTGACTCGATGCTGATTGGCCAGGAAGCCGGCTTGATTGTGATTGGTAGGGAAACTGGCTTCTCAGCCAATCAGGAAGCCGGGCGGCGAGTAATGAGCCGCCTCCCTGATTGGCTGAAAAGCAGGCTCCCCAGCTAATCAGCATCAAGCTAACTGTTTGGCTGGCTCGATGCTGATTGGCTGGGAACCGGCTTCCCGGCCAATCAGGAGGCGGGTCATTACTCACCGCCTGGTTTCCTGATTGCCCAGGAAGCTTGCTCCATGTTCCCATATGGCACTGCTGGTCAGAAGAAAATCTTCCTCTGACCAGAAGTAATGGTATCGGAGCATAAATACTCGGTATCGGCACATCCCTACTATATACTGTATATTGTAATCTGAAATGCTGCATTTCATAACTTACCCTTTCAATGTTTTTGAAGTACATTTTGAAGTCCGTCACAGTTAATGTTCCACTGACCGCACCCCAGAATGGGCAAATGTACATAACATCTTTAGCTGTAGAAATATAAATATTTATTTAAAAAGAAAGTTCTTTATATCAAATGTCTTTCTATAAATAAAGAAGATGCGTGTCATGAATTCCTTCATGTGAACTAAAATTGTCTGAGACTACCCAAGGAATTTAGTGTGCCGCCCTTCATTGGACACTGAAGAGTGTTCCTTTCAGTCAGATTGTGTCCGGTATACTAGCGGCAAAAGAAAAGGATTGACCAAGTCCAGTCAATGTGCCGCACAACTAATGAACAAATATGGCTGCCCTGTGTATGTGTAGGAAAATGACATGTCCTTATTGAAGGTGTTCCTTAATCAGTTTGAAGAATGTTTCAATATTTTATAAAAAATACTTCCCAAAACTAGTTATGTTTAGAGCATCTTTCAACAGAACCAACTGGCCGGAATTTACAACTTCCCACTTACAAATTTCTTTTAAATATTAGTAGTTCTTCTAACTCCTCAGCCATCTTTTTCCTGCTACACACATGAAAGTGGCTCATGCCATTCTCAGCTGAGTCTTACTTGTATGTTTAAACATTTCTCCTAAATGACTGCTTTTCTCTCCTTCAGTCAGTGCCTAAATAATACAGGCGATGTTCAGTGGGGGAGTAGAAAAGAGGTTGGATTAGATCTTAAAAAACTAATAGGAGGATGCTGTATGCTCTCTAGCCATCTCTAGACAGCAGTGGTGAAAACTCTTTAAAAAAAAATCATCACATCCTTTCACTTTCTCCATTGCGCCTTTACCCATTGGTTGGATTTATTTTTTGATATAGGCTGACCTCCTCAGAAAAGAAAGGGCGGTCAAAGTATCTACACAGACTGAACACAAATGGAAACTTTATTTTTAAATAGTTTTCACTGCTGCTCTCTAGGGTTTTTCCTGAAGTGCTATGACATAAGAGTGTAAGCAATAGAACTTAAACTCGCCCCCACTGTACAGGCACTGTTAGATGGGATAGCAAGAGAACCAACATGGGTTATTTTAGGATATAGTCCAGACTTTCCACTACTCTCCTCTTGAACAGAACTTTTGTCAAATTGATCACACGCACTAAAGGGCAGAAAAACAATAAAAATGGTTAAAAATAGAAATAATGAAAAATTCACAGCTGAAGCCATTCGACCAGGTGTAAATAGGTATTTTTGGCCAAAAAGGTAAAATAAATTTCCATAACTCACATAAAAATGATTAATAAACAACATTTTCAAAGTCATTTTCAACTGCCTGCACATGCCTGGCACTCCATAAGTGTATAATTTTTTTACTGCAACAAACATTTTCTCTTGGATACATGTTAGCCTGTGAAAAAGTTACGTAATAAATTAACAGGAATTAAAGTACACACACGACAGAAAAAAAAAATATAGAAGACAACATATCGAGATGTTTGCACAAACCTCTGTTTCAAGGGGTTCAAAGAAACCTTGAGCCGAATTAGCAAATCTATTACCTACTACCTATTAGCTTAGAAGGCGATGCTCTGTGAAAATGGTTAAAAAAGGCACAGAGCATTACATGGAGGGATGGGGGTTGCATGACAGAGCTCTTATCTTGTAGGCTACCATTGGCAAATCGAGATTCCTGATTTTACGGGACCCGAGCTACTATGGGACATAAACCTTTGAATAATTGTTTTCATTCTGTGACCTTTACTAGTCCTTTAAAGACTACTTCCAAAAGTAGATTATATTGCTATTGTCGTACAATATCAAATTTGCCAAAAAGTGGCTTTAAGCTGATCAACCAAATATGTGAGATAGACATCGAATTTAAAGAATTTGGTCTTTTACTTACCAATTGCCTTGATTGACTCTCCAGGAAATAATGGTGCTTCCTCCATCTGAGCCTGCTTATTCCCATCTCTTAAAGCCTGACAAAAGTAAGCAATACATAGCGTTATCCACTACCTGTAAACAGCCAGCAGCCTTCTGAGTCTTCTCTTGAGCTCCAGAGCCTTCTGCAGGCTGTGCATGCTTACTAATGAACATGGAACCTGTATTAAACAGCAGCACAGTGGAATTCAGGCTGGATCACCTCCTGCTACAATCATTAGCTCATAAATAATAGATTCATCTTGCAGAATGGGGTTTTGATAAATTACTTGCACATTCTACAGCCAAGTGTCCATAGTAGACATTGATTTTAGTGGTTCTGAACAAAATTGCTTTTCAGCACCGCTTGAGAAAATCAGACTATTCTATAGAATAGTAATACTTAAATATCAATAAACATGTTAGATAATTAACACTTACCCCGGGAGGTTAGGCACAGAAAACTGAATGACGGCTTTTACACACCGCAGGAGACAAGACGTATGTACAAGTAAAAAGCAACAATATTGCTTAGCTCTGTAGCTTGAATAAAGCCCAAGCAAAATAAGGCAGCACCGACAGTAACAGTAGCACATACATTTATTAAAGTGAGATTTAGAGCAATGTTGTTAGTCCTTTCCTATTCAACAGCAAAAGGGTGTAAGCGCAGCTGACAGTGGCACTGACAGGTTGGAGTTTTTAGTGGTTTTGCTTTGGAATAAAAATTGCATACCAGCAAATACAAATATTCACTGGGTATCTTGTATCGGTGGTGCCATTATTACCACCAATATAAAGTTTTGGCCCAAGACATTTTGGGGTACAAGGAACCTCAGCTATTCTAAAGCTTGACATAAACTGTCCAGCCATGTCTATTGCTATCAAACAGGTAAGTATTGGCAATAGAATGTGTGACGGTTAGGTTGAGTGTTAGAGATTATGTTCAAATCAGTTTTGAAGTTATGATTGTTGCAAAGCTGACATATATGTACTACAAATCACCCCATATGGGCATCCAGCTACAGTACTGTGCAAATGTTTAGGCAGGTGTGAAAAAATGCTGTAAAGTAAGAATGCTTTCAGAAATTAAAGTGTAAATAGTTATTTTTTTTATCAATTAACAAAATGGAACGTAAATGAACAGAAGAGAAATTCAAATCAAATAAATATTTGGTGTGACCACCCTTTGCCTTCAAAACAGCACCAATTCTTCTTGGTACACTTGCACTTGAAGGAACTCGGCAGGTAGGTTGCTCCTAACATCTTGGAGAACTAACCACCGATCTTCTGTTGATGTACGTTGACTCCAATCCTTCCGTCTCTTCAGTTAATCCCAGACGCAATGATGTTGAGATCAGGGCTCTGTGGTGGCCAAACCATCACTTCCAGGACTCCTTGTTCTTCTTTATGCTGAATATAGTGCTGTATGTTTGGGGTCGTCCTGCTGCAGAATAAATTTGGGGCCAATCACATGCATCCCTTATGGTATGGCATGATGGATAAGCATCTGCTTGGATTTCTCAGCATTGAGTACACCAATGATCCTGACCAAATCTACTGTATTTCCAGAAATGCAGCCCCAGACTTGCAAGGAACCTCCACCATGCTTCACTGTTGCTGCAGACACTCATTATTGTACTGCTCTCCAGCCCTTCAGCGAACAAACTGCCTCCCGCTACAGCCAAATATTTCAGATTTTTACTCATCAGTCCAGAGCATTGCATTTCTGCCAATGGAGTTGATTTGGTCAGGATCACTGGTGTCCTCAATGCTGAGAAATACAAGCAGATACTTATCCATCATGTCATACCATCAGGGAGGTGTCCGATTGGCCCCAAACATACAGCCAATGTCATTAAGAACTATCTTCAGCGTAAAGAAGAACAAGGTGTCCTGCAAGTGATGGTTTGGCCACCACAGAGCCCTGATCTCAACATCATCGAGTCTGTCTCGGATTAGATGAAGAGACAGAAGATCTGAGGCATCCTACACCCACAGAAGATCTGTGATCCAAGATGTTTGGAACAACCTACCTGCCGATTTCTTTCATAAACGGTGTGCAAGTGTACCTAAAAGAATTGATGCTGTTTTATAGGCAAAGGGTGGTCACACCAAATATTTATTTGATTTGGATTTCTCTACTGTTCATTGATAAAAATAAACTAACAACACTTATTTCGGAAAGCATTCTTACCTGCAGCATTTTTTCACATCTGCCTAAAACTTTTGCACAGTACTGTAAACCTGTAGAGTTTTTGTTGCCACTGAAGCTCCATGCATTGGAAAGATTTTTACAGATGCTCATGCACAAAACTGTGCTAATTTTCAGATACCAACTTGTAGCATACAGTTATATATAAGCCTGCATTACAGCAATCAGGAGGGCTAAGGCACAACTCAGTATGAAAAAACTGTATTTGAAAAACTAAAACTAAGCTAAAACAGGAATAATAGTAATATTGGTATTTTAAAAAGATTGTCCTCTGAACGATGAGTTCTAATTAAAACCAAAATAAACATGAAATGTATTTAAAATAAGCCATGCATACTTCTTATTTCTGCCTTAATGAGTATCTGTCACAAAGAAAAAGACCAATGTGAGCAGGCTCAGATCAGAAAATAAAACCATTTTTATATCTTGCAGTATGAATACTAGTTCCAAAGAAGTAAAACTAACCCTATTCAATTTCTCCAAGTATCAGCACTTCTCGAAAACTAAAAAGTTAAGCTGGCCATATACTGTGCGAATTTTGATGAACCAGCTGAGATTCGCACAGCGGGTGGCCTTGTTGGCACCCTTCCGTCTGGCATCCTTCAATCAGAAAACTGAAGGAGCCGGTACATTTTCAGATGAACAGTGACAGCAACCAATTGGTCCCATTCAAGTCAAAGGATACTACGCACCAGCGCCTATAATATCTTTCCCTTGAGTGCAGTTTATTCAAAATCCTGCATTAAAGAGCTGGTCGGAGGGGACTGATGAACTTGCATGCCAAAATCTGGATTACAAATTTTACTGTCCAAGCAGATGGCACACAAAGAAAATTATGGCTAAGTGGCTGATCTTAAACATAAAGCAGAGTTCTACATGGATATCTCTTAAAATGAGTCTGCCCTCCTCTATGACAGAATGCTGCCAGAAGGCAAGAACCATAAGGTGTTGGCCATCACCTCTTTTGTCTAGGAAAGCCTCCCATTCCCTGCCTGAGATTACTTTCACGATAAAACCCTAAGATTTAACCTACCTACCCTTTACAAAACAGCTGCACTCCTCTGCACATCTCAGCAAATCTAGTATCATAATGTAAAATTAATGGCATGCATTGGGTAGCAGCCAAATGGACTATTTGAGGTATACACAGACAGACATACAGAGCTAAAGATTCTAATGGGAGCTCAAAACTGTTGGGTATGGTAAGTCTGGTTCCCACGTGATATTTCTAACCTTCCTAAACAGAACACGCTCAATGGATTATGACCGAGATATTCACAATGAAAATATAGTTACATGTCTACAAAACTTGACACCTTTTAACATATAATTTTTATTGAGCATTGAAAAAACTTAACAGGTTTATGATCTGATCTTTTTTGTCCCGTTATTACTTTAGGGCTGGTTCACACCAGCTCCGGTACAATTCGCTGCTGGAACGCATTCCGGCCACCTTCCTACGTTCAGGGGCGGGACGGGGCATTGAAGTCAATGGCACCACAGCCACGCCCCCCGCTGGCAGTGTGATCGCCCACCAGAATGCATGGCACATCAATGCCTGCGTTCCGGTCCAGTGTGACCTGGAAAAATGCTGCATGCACTATTTTTTCTGATTGCAATGGACTTGAACACATGCATTGATGTGCCAAGCATTCTGGTGTGGGCAATCCCACTGTGGGCAGGGGGCGTGGCGCCATTGACTTTAATGCACCGCCAGTCCCCCTCCTGCCCCTGAACGCCGGGAGCCGGCTGGGATGCGATACAGTGCATTCCAGCATCGAATCGTGCTGGAACGCACTGTATATGGTGTGAAGAAGCCCTTAAAAAAATCATCATTTAATACAGGATGCTTCCAGGATACTGCGTTTGGAGAATTCTGTACTTCAAATAAGTCATGCCTGAAGCTGTCAGAGTCTTGCAATGTCTGAAGGTCCCCACACACCTTGTGATAATCGCGAGAAATCCCACAATCGTATGATTATCGTAAGGTGTGTGGAAGCCATGCGGCCGGTGTGCGCAAACGCACACTGCCCGTTCGGCATTGCGGTCATAGGAAGCCCGCCCCTCAGGGGGCGCGGCTTGTGATCATCGCAAGTACGATCTGCCTCCCCAAGATAGGCAGATCGTACGTTTTTTTAAAGTACCTTACAACCATCGCAAGACAAAAGTCTTGCGATGGTTATAAGGTGTGTGCCCAGCCTTATAGAACTTGTAGATCCACATCAGCTGGAGGGCAGAAGTTTGGATATTCCTGATCTTTCACCCTTTGTTAGGACAGACAGTGTTCAAATCTAGTTTAACAATGGTTAGTGAGATTTACCAGCAAGTACAGACAGGGTTAACTCCCCAGCCCCCTTGCTAAGCAGAGGAAAATTCAGTTTTGACTTTTTTAGAAAAAAAACAAAAAGGTAAAAAGTAAGCAGCAGTTTTTAAATATAGTCATGAAATGTGAATGGGAACATGTAACAAATATAAAAGTAAATGCTATCCCAATATGGCTGCTAAAGTGTAAATACACTTTAAGTAACAGTGTTAATGTCTGTGGCCTCATTTACAATGGCAATGACATGCATTTATATGCATTTATTGGACATCTCTAAAGGCCTAAAATGCATGTAAAGATTTTAATAGTTATAATTCCCACTTTGCGTTTTTTTCCCACTGCGCATTCTGTTTAATTGTGTTTAGAAAAAATAAAGTTCCGTGCATCCAGGGACAGATTACATTTTTTAACATGTAAATTAATGTTAACTCATGTAAATGTAAGTATAATTATACGCAGATCATTTCTCCTGCATTAAATAAACCAAACACATGAGGCTAGTGTGAATGTAACCTATCGCTGCTCATTTTAGCACTATACACTTTGCCATTTTTAAAGCTCTGTAAATACAAACAACTCAAAAATATGTTCCGATATCCAGTTGCTTCGAGTGGGAAAAGCTGAATGCTGAAATCAATAGCACACACATCAATTGGCTCTGCACAAGTTGAAAAAACAGGGAGAAGCCCGAGCAGACGTATCATACTGGGAAAAGGCTGTTGGCAGACGTAGTTTTTATTTTATATATAGAAGAGTATAAATAATAAAGCACTGCGAGTTAAACACACTGAGTCATAAATCAAGCTGCTATAACCAATGGCCTTTTTCATCAGTCTTCTAGAAAGTTTACCAAGTTGATCCAGAAGAAACAGACAGCAATAAAGGGCAAGAATAAACTACATATAAAATGACTGATGTGATCAAGCAAGCTCGTCATAGCAAACAAGGAAACTGCTCAGCACACAATTAGGAAAATATTACAGATGTTTTTACCATGTACCTGTCTTATCCCTAAAAAGGTCAGCCATTGTGTGGGCTGATTGGTATCCAGCTTACCAATGCAACAGGAAATAATTACATAATATGTCACTGATGTCACTGACAAAGTCAGAATAGGCAGCCTCAAACATTGGCTCGACTGTTTACATGTCTGCTGCCACCGACTGCAGCAAGCAGGATCGGCACATTCATAAAATGGAAGTGGGCCACCCAGAGCATGGACTCTACAAAAGCACCTTTGCTGGAAAAGACAGTGGGGACACCAAATGGATCTACTGATAACTTCAGATGCCTCCAAGGATTTCATCTCTTATTCATTTGACTGACGGCTCCCACTGCCGATTCAGTCCTGAAAATTTCAGTTGTCTGGCTGTCTTGTAGACCATCAGGCTGCAATGTTTTCTGAACTGGAATAAGTATATAGATGAAGCATTCTGACTTCACTGGCTGCAGGACTGCACTGAGTCATCAAGTATTGAATGCAGAGCTGGACAACAAGCATTGCGAGAAGGTGGTCAACTATGGTGTCCTTCAAATTTCTCTCTTGACTGATGACTTTTGATAAAGCAGCCTAGTCTTTTACAACACTTAAAAAGAACTATTGGGGTAAGTGTTTTCCCCATAGTTCTCTTAAGGGTCACAGGAGGACATATACTAACGCCTCCCGTGACCCAAAGCTCAGTATATATCGAGCTATTGCCCGCGATATACTGAGAGCTGCAGCCAGGACGGATCCCAATAATACTGTCGAGATCCACCCAGCTGCATGAATGACAGGGGGCTGTGCCTATCTAGAGGCAGAGCTAGTGGTGCCCTCCCATGTCACACGTCGGCTCGAACTATGAGGATGAGTGATTTTCACTCACCTCATAGTTCTCCTTTAACCATATCTAGGGTACGTGCAAATTCTTTACAGGTTGATGTGTTAACTTTGTAGCATATTTGCTACACAACATAACTGCATTAGCAGAAGGCTTACCGGTTTTCTTCATGGGGTCAAAATAATGTGAGCAGTGACCTACACTTTAACTGGAACCAGAGTGTGTTTCCATCTATGTTTAGGATTATACAGGTCTGTACACAGTACACAATCCCAACAACAAATTTAAAAAAAAAAGCAAAACACATGGGTCTATTCATAAATGTTTTCTCCCAAGATTCACACATTATTCAAGGGAGTCAGAATAGATAAATGTGTGAATCTTCAGTAAAAGTTGTGAAAATATTTATAAATAGACCTTAAAGAGCTTACAATCTAATGTCCTTATTGAAGACAAACCAACACCAGGATAAATTTTGCAGGACCTGTAAGTAAGTATTCTTATACACTGAGGGAAAGGAGCTGGAGAAAGAACATCCTGTCTTGGTAATTGTCCCATAGTGTAAATACATACATACATACTCTTGAGCTTTTAAAGGACACATATTATGATAAAATCTGTGTTACACTCATATATAGGTTTTAAAAGTTGATAGTTACCTGGCGATCATACTCATCCTACTGCTTCACTAGTTAGTGGGTCCCTAACGCTAAAGAAATGCCATTCAGAGATTCCACTGGCTGCAGAGATTCCTGTCAGCAATAGCCATTGCGTCATTTTTAAAAAAGGTAAAAGTCTGAAATGTACATTCTGGTAAATCATGTACATCCTTCACATAACCCAACATTCAGACTGAAGCCATTATTTCCACTGATGGCGATGATGATGTGTGAACGTACATAATATGGAGAGGTATATGGGTAACATGGGTCTAAAGCTACAAGCATGCACTAACAGATATAAAATAGAGGGGTAGAACTTGCCACCTGCTCGGACTCCGTTTCTGAATGATAGCCATTGCGGTCTTCCTGAGTCTCCTGTGTGCATGAGGCAGCGATGGGCAGGACGGAGGCAATAAGAGAGAAATAATCATGCAGACAACAGGTAAGAGGACAGGTTGCACAGATTAAAAAAAAAAAAAAGAAGACATTTAAGACCTTCAAATTCTCAGCATCTCAACAAGTTTAGCTCTGTATACAGCAATGCATGCAATGGGCAGAACAGAGGGAAAACATGCCACAAATTGGTTACCATAAAACCATGGAAATTACCACGTCCTGAGCTGATATCAGGTGGTTTTATTGTTTCTGTTCATTCCTAGGTGGTTATAACAATGGCAGATTCCTCAGTTATTTCAATTATAGGGAAGACATCAAGGGAGTAGACCACCTTCTATATACCCTTTAATGGAAATTCTAGAGGAGATATCGGCATTCCCAAGAGATACAAAAAGCCAGCATGTGTTTCAGCTTGTCAGCAATCAAGGTGAATATAATTTTAGCTGAGCTGACATTTAATTCAGAAAATACATTAACCCACACCTGGACAACTAAGAGTCAGCTTTAAAAACTTAGAAACCAGGACTATGCAACCTGCATATGAGGTGTTATGTCCAAAACTTTTTTTAAATATTGGATGGATTAGGGAGACAACTGGATGTGAGAGAAAATATCTTTCCAACCAAAGCCCTGGCATTTCATGTGTGTATGCAATTACTCACTTGTTTTCATCCCCAGAAAGCAGATATGGCAGCTCAGTGAGTGGCTGTATGGCACTCATGAAGACCAACCTAATCCTTGCCTCAATGCAGGGCCGATAACAGATATGCAGTCCCTGTTGCTGAAGGAGCAAAAAATGGCAGATAACAAAGCTCTTAGTTTCCTTGTAATCCAGACAGAGAGGATGGTCCTATTATAGCCTTCAAAGCCTGATACGTAACAGGGAGAATGCAAATAAGTAATAAAATACCCATAATTCCCTGAGAGGTAAGGGGTAGGAATCAGAGCATTACAAGTGTCTGGGTTCTAGAGCTGCAGCTAACGATTATTTTCAAAATCGATTAGTTAGCCGATTATTAAGTTCGATTAATCGGTTAATTGAATTAAAAAATAAAATAAATTTAAAAAATTGCTCCAGTGATGGGACTACTAGTTTATATTGAGATTGTAGTCCATCACAAGCTTGGAGCGGTGGAAGTAAAAATGTGTAGTGTGCAATATAGTGAAATGAAAAGTGTAAAATTATACAGCACAATGCGGAATACCACCGGCTATAGAGGACTACAAAACCCAGCAATAGTACATTATACAGCGCAATGCAGAATACCACAAATCCCAGCAATTGTACATTATAGCTGGCGGTATTCTGCATTGCGCTGTATAATGTACTATTGCTGGGTTTTGTAGTCCTCTATAGCTGGTGGTATTCCGCATTGTGCTGTATAATGTACTATTGCTGGGATTTGTTGTAGTCCTCTATAGCCAGTGGTATTCGGCATTGCACCACTGTATAATGTATTATTGCTGGGAATGTACCGATCGTGGATTTGGGCAGCGGTGAGCGTGAGGTGGGGAGGAGGTGCGGCGTGTGGATGCGGGCAGGCGCATCTGGCAGCGGCGAGCGTGAGGTGGGGGGGAGGTGTGGCACGCAGCGTGTGTGGAGCCGTGAACAGGGCCGACCAATCGAAATCCGATTAATCGATGATTGAAAAAGTTGACAACTTTTTCAATCATCGATTATAATCGATAATGTCGATTAGTTGTTGCAGCCCTACTGGGTTCTTTAGAACATGAAGCATGTAATAGAAGAGTGAAATATAATAAAAACTTTTGGGACTCGCAGTGAACAAGAAGGAAAGATCAGCTGCCTGGCATGCAAAACGAACCCATGGTATATGACTGCTAAGAGCAGAAACAATTTGTTTCCTATGCAGCAAGCCTAAGCTCTTCTTGGTGGATTACAAGGTGTTTACAGGCCAAAATCAAAAAAATAAATTAACCCAAGGTGGCCTCTGTGGAATACAATGGACAGGTAAAGCTTGCCACCTATAGTCAGAGCAATAGAAGTTACCAACAGTATTGTACTGAGAGAGCCCGACTAAACAAACATTATATATCAAAAAGGTAAATCCTCACTATCCAGTTCCTTCTCAATTTAAAAATGTGGTTAATTTAAAAGATGAAAATCTCTGTGGCCACCTTACACTTGCAAAACCTAAAGATTTAACTGGAACAGCACCCAATTTTCTCTAATACCAATGAACAGTCCATTAAAATAACAAAACCAGTTTTTGCTGCAACATTCACCCTCATTCCAGAGATTTTCCAAGAAGTATTTGTTTGCTGCTATACATCCTCAGTCAGATGGCCAGCATCATTCCACCCACTTCCTCTGAACACAGATCATTCTGGACCCATCCCAGCCTGTTGCTGAACAGTGACATAGAAGCTGCACAGTGATGAGCTCATCCCATTCACACTGATTTCCCCTCCTATCAGCATGCTTCTTGTCAGCACATGAATAGATTGGGTCCTTGTGCTGCATCTTCCTCTTGCACTACAACCCTGCTGTACCAGGAATGCAAGAGACCAGGTGAAATTCAGGTACTTACACTGCTTGCATTTAAAAATACAGTTGATGTATAAATGATTATAGATCTGCATTAGAGTCTTTAAATCTGCCTAAAGTACAGTCCTAAGTGGGGCCAGGACTTTCCCAGCACTTAGATCCCCACTCATCTCCATTCACATGGACACAGAGTTGGGTGTCAGATGTGTGCGAAATTGTTCTGCTTTCTTTCTCTGAGCCACATATATATATA